TGTGTGTGTGTAAATTTATTTATTTATGCTGTATTTAAATTAAAAAGTATATTATTTAATGCATTTTGAGATATATTGTAGAAAAAGTTATGCTAATGCTATAGATTATTTTATATATTGTACATACGTTACATTTTTATATATATTACATTTTCTCATATATTTGGAGACATTTTAGTAATTTTTTGCCTTACGGGAGTTTCAAGAGCATTTCTAAGCAATTTCTAGGATGTTGTGGGTTTTTCTTTTTGCATTATTTATTGTTAGTTGTTATTGTTATTGTTTATTGTAAGTCTGATCAAAACATCTAGCCGCAAGATTTGAGGTATCATGTCCATACCCCAAACAATACAGGACATTTCAAGTACCCAGTTTAGGGTTTGTTCAAAATTATAAGCAATAGTAATAGCAATGCTAACCTCTGAAAACACCACCAGTAAGGATTTCAGTTCAAGGTTAAATTTCATATGTTGACAGACTATCATGTGACCTAAATGTCAAGGGCAAACTATATACAAGATCATGCGAGTCACAAAGCACATAATATTGCAAACACAGTCAAATCAAACTACCAGTGTAATATAGAAAATACATTTTATTTTCTAATACGTTGCTCATGATATAACTTGGGCCACATGTGAGAGGTATCCAAATTGTAATTGAGGAAACGCCAGATGACATCACAGCAGGAGCAACAACAACTGTTCCCAATGATGTGAGATGAAAATAACATGCTTATTTTAGTCATTTCTGAGTGCTGGGTTGGGGCAGACTGGAAAAGTAGGTACGTATCTCAACAAGTGATTGACTCAGCCTGGTGTAGCAATAGCAGAATAGCTCCTAAAATAGCTGGCTGGCACTTATCCTTCCATGGGAGCCGGACAGGGTCAGCTGTTACCAGCACAGAAACGGTCACAGGCTTGCTGACACACTCAGAGGACACACATGGCCGCGTCAAAGACTAGTAGACCAGTCAAAGGATCATTATTGAACTAAGTAATAAAGTAATTCAGAGGGATTTGAGTTAAGCTTATGAGCAAAGAGAAAGAGCGCTGAATGGTGAGTTTGTTTACACATTTTTAAACCGTTATATTGCTTCAAATAATGCGTGTGCTAAAGAGGATTTCCCACAACATATCTATTATAGACAACCACTGTTGTGTGACCAGGGACATGGGATTTCCAGAATTTGATTATTCATTTGTGTGTTAAAAACAGGTTGGAAAACAAGCTTAACCTTACTGTGGTTGGAACATTGGTAACCAGCAAATACATAATCATATGTTAATTTTCAACTTACTGACATGCTGAAATTAGTTAAAGAGGATGTCTGTTTGGACACTTTGCTTCACTTTTCCTCATCACATTTTGTTTTTAGACCATTTTAAAGAAAATCTACAATGTGTTGTTAATGAATAGCTTTTGGAGAATGCTTTTGTGGTAAACTGGACAACAAAACATAGTAATTTAACCAATGATTATGGAACCAAGAAAAATAATCCCATAATCATTGTGATACCTAGATCAGATGGTTAGCAAGTGTGATTTAATGCAGATGCACTTCATAAGTAAATGTTTTACTACGATAAAAAATAGATTTAAAGGGTTAGTTCACCCAAAAATGAAAATTAGCTTGTGTTTTACTCACCCTCGATGCATCCTAGGTGTATATGACTTTCTTCTTTCAGACGAATCCAGTCGGAGTTATATTAAAAATTGTCCTGGCTAGTCCAAGCTCTATCATTGCAGTCAGCGGGTGTTGCATTGCTTCAGTCCACAAGTCGTCAAATAAAGTGTGCGCATCCATAATAAAACGTCCCTGACACGGCTCCGGGGGGTGAATAAAGGCCTCCTGTAGCGAATCCATGTGTTTTTGTAAGAAAAATATCCATATTTCAAACGTAATAAACACTTTTCTCTCACTTCCGTTATCTGTCATTTGCTGAAGCCACGCTTTATTTGACAACTTATGGACTGTTCAACTGCAACTCCCGCTGACTGCAATGATAGAGCTTGGAATAGCCAGGACGATTTTTAATATAACTCCGACTGGATTCGTCTGAAAGAAGAAAGTCATATACACCTAGGATGCTTCGAGGGTAAGTAAAACACAGTCTAATTTTCATTTTTGGGTGAACTAACCCTTTAAGTCTATCAGATAGTGAGTTTGAGTTCCTACATACTATTCAGATACTAAAATACAGTCACAGTTGATCATAATTTTATTTCACAGGCTTGAGGCAAGGCAATGTTTTGCCCTTGAAACTGATTATTAGTCTGTACCCTTCTGCTCATTCAAGCAAGCTGTGTGCTGCTTCTTGGTTCACGACTGGAAATCCCATTGGTATCTGTGTCACGGAGAGTCAGATGTTTTCCAGCCTAGTTTCTGAGTGCACTTTGCACACTACACTGATGACTTGCATTCATAGCAGCTGTCCACATTACTATAATGAGAGCTGACAGAGCAGTAACTATCATAACCATCACCATTCCAAAAAGATAAACTCCTACAAAATGGATTTAACATAAACAAGCATTAATGGATGCATGTTTGGAGTAAAAATCAATATATCAACCGCACAGTTTTCAAAAAGCAGAGGTCCGTGAAGGTCCTTTGGAGATCTGTGGATATATGATTTTATTTGCAAATGTGATACATGAATGATCTGTTATGCAATAAAAAAGGGTAATAATGTTTGTTAGTGTAATAAAAATTAAAACCATAAATTGTTAAAACACTGTTTTTTTATGTTTGGGGGTCCTTGTGTCTGCTGAAAGTAAGGGGGTCTCTGTAATTATGTTAGTCTATTTAATGTAGTAGTACTAAGCACATATATTACTTGAAGCAGATTGTAAAATTATAATCATTTTGGAAGGCTTTAGTATGAAGATAGTATGCAAGGTTATGAATGGAGATGGCTTGATTTGACACAAATAGACTTTGCACCATCATACACTCTTAAAAATAAAGGTGCTTCACGATGCCATAGAACCTTTTTGTCTCTGGTTTGATAAAGAACCTTTAACATTTAAAGAATCTTTGTGTTCTTCAGATTATAAAAAGCTAAGAACGAGATGGTTCAAATGGTTCTTTGTGGAACCAAAAATGGTTCTTCTATGGCATTGCTGTGAAGAACCTTTTAAGCACCTTTATTTTTAAGAGTGTAATTTACACTTAAATCTAAAAACCCTGCTGAAAGCTTGCTGGGTCACAGATTAAGTCTCTTGTAAAACTAACAAACAATATCCCTGACAAATCACATGACGGCTCACCTCCCACTGAAAGAAAAACTGTTCTTTTTAAATGAAACTTACATCTGACAGTTCAGAAAGTCTTTGGTGCCCCTGATGTGTGTGTCTGTGGGTCTCGGTTGTAAAAGCACAGATGTTGACCTTGATTTCATTCCTTTATTCAGGAAATTAGCAGTCAAAGTTTGAGTCACAATAACCATATCATGATTCTGATCTTTCTGCTGTATTACAGAGGATAAAAGAAGGTCAGTCGCAGACTTCAGAGACAACTCGGCTCTCAACGGATTGGAGAAACCGTCTATTTCTGTCAAAGCTTTGTCTGCACTATATCTGTCAAAAGTGGCAGCTGCAGAACCTGCGGGAAACCTCTTGAAACCAGTTAGTACTTGTATTCTTCATGATACATGTGGTGACCTTTGGGGCCAAGGGGATGAGACTAAAGCAGGCTACAGGAAGAAAATGCTGCTAAATAAAATGCATGTAACAGCTGCTGAAAAATATTTTCGGTTTACAGTATGTCATGGTTCTAGCTACAAGTTCAAGGAACATGGGTATATATAAATTATGTTTTATATGAAATTAAGTTAGTAAAATCAGTTCCTGGTTACGTTTTGATCATATAAGCACCTCAGACATACTTGTAATGTCCTTGATTTTTATTTGTTCTAGGACCAGAATATCACTTCTCCAACTGGAAAAAGGCAGAACACAATCAAGGTAAAGAAAATTAGTTTCAAATACAGTATATATTTTAATCTAGTGGTAAACCTTATTTTGGCTTCTTCATTTGATTTAGTGTCCCAATTAACCACTGTAGCAAACTTCACCCCTGTAGTGAACGTAATTTGTAATAGTGTGTATAAATATTGTGTTTTATTAAAAATGCACATTATTCTTAAAAAATAACTATTTAGTTTAGTGCTCTAAAACATTAGCAGCTTGTCTTTCTGTAATCGCATACTTAAATAAATAAATTCTGGTGGTGAACCCTTAGCTCTCAGGTGTGAAATAAAATAATAACATAGGAAACTAAATTTACTGTGTTTGATTAACTACTCATTTGCAGGACAGAACATATAATCATTGTGGGTGTTTTCACTGGTCTTTTGCGCTCATAATAACATTACTAACATAAGTTATAACATTCTCAACTGCCTGTATTCAGATTGCTGAAATGATTAACTATTAGAAATGTTTGGCTCAAAACGCTGGTTTTCTTTGGCATGCGGTTTGGCTTCCTTACAGTTCAACAGGTATGTTTAACTTCTTAACCATTTATGTTTGCTAAAAGTTTATTATAACCATTTGAAATAATAGGCTAATATATTAGCTACAGTAATCTAATGAGGTCGTTCTTTGTTTTTTAGATGGCTGAAGGTGCACAAAACAGCATTGCATATGTACCTGAATCAAATCCTCCAATAGACCATCTGGAAACCAGCCCTGATGAACATGAAAGACCCTTTACATCACCACCCCCTACAAGAGAAGCAATGTCCATTCAGCATCAACGGCGACAGAAATGCGAGCTTAGACGACTGCTAAAGCACACTTACCCTGAGCTGAAAAATGTAGACAGTTTGGTAGAAGAGGAGTTGGCTGATATTCTTAACATGGACCCAGACACAGGCACTGGACACCAGAGTGAGTTCCAGTCCAGGTGCTGGCTGTTTGAGAACCATGAAATCAATTCAGTGGATATCCAGGATCAAAAACTGCAGATGAAAAAGGAGTTTCAAGAGGGGGACATCAAGAGAAGCGTCTGCATGTTTGAACAACCTACGTCTAACTCCCACAATGAAGACAACAAACCTCAACTCAACAAATCAGAGGAAGTGACATCAGAGCAGAGCATAAAGGTGGATGTGAAAGCCACGCGCAGAATGTTCGAAACTCAATCGATGGATAGTCAAAACCCCTGTCCAAGGAAAAACATTGTTTGTGAGGAAGAAAGTCGATCACACCAAAAACCAAAGAGTCAATTTGAGACTGACGGAAAAGAAACATCAGACCTTCACAATAACAGTCTAACCAATGACCTCATTGACACAAATGAGGTGTTTGTAAGTATATCTAAAGCCAAACAGGTCTTCGAAACAGTATCACATGACAAGGAGAACATCTCACCAACAAATGACAACTTCGGCCAAGAACAAGAACTGCTGAAGGCAAATGTAAGAAACAGAGCTCAAATGTTTGAATCAACTCCACTTGATAAGATCAATCAGCAAACCAAGGAAGAATCAGAAACCATCCTGGAGAACACACAAGAAACTCTAGTTTCTTTATGCAACTTCAGTATCATGCATTCTGATGGAACCATCCTCGAAGCTAATGAAAATGGCAATGTCAAAAAAGCAAGATATAACTTCATACAAGAAGATACAAGACCAGAAATTCAGGATGAAGAGATAGTGACTGGAAGCATAAAGAACATCATGCTTCAGATGCTACCAGGAACAAACTTGAACCCAATTGTGACCTTCCTAAAAGAGGACAGTCAGGGCAATGTGGAGATTCAGAAAGTAGATGTCCCCATTGTCCAACAACTTCCATTCACTCGAGATAAAGAGTGCAGAACTGCCAATGTGGTGCAGATTACTGAAGATCTACTCAGTCAAGAGAAGTCCATCAGAAAAGGAGTCTTAATACAAGATGGAGCCACAGGAACGAGAGAGATAACTGTTTATGCTCTATTCATCCACAGTGAAGACAGTACAGGGGTAATGGAGTTTGGTCAAATTGATTTTAGATCCATTCCCTCAAGTCTAAGGAATGTTCCCGAGTCTGAAAATTGTGATCTGAAGACAGATATTAGTTCATCAGAAAGTTCTTCAGTAGTAGATACAAACAAAACTAGTAATGTGCAGCTATTCCAGAGCTGCATTGAGAAAGGAGACCTTGATCCTCTAAAATGCCTGCAGGAAACATCATCAGATGTAGATATAGGTGCATCTACTGGGGAATCAGAGAAAACAAGTGAGATTATACCAGGTGAAGTTAACAGTATCAAAGCCTTTTTTGCTACCAATATAGATGACACAAGCATGCAGTTGGATAAAAACAAGTCAAAAGTGTCACCTAAAGAAAGTTTGGTAAATAATGAAAATGATGATGCAGAAGCAACAAACCAATCTGAACATTGTTCTGACACAGATGACCATCTAAAAAAAGAAAGAAGTCTCCAAAATCAAGAGATCATGGATGATGGAGTCGTTCTTCAAGCAGAACTAGTTGATGTTGTTGAAGACGATGAGTTGGTGAATTTACAAACAGCCATTATGAATCTTCATCAGGCGACAATAGAGGCAAAAGCTCTTCAGAAGAGTGTACAAGCAAAACATGCCTCCCAAACAAACCAAACCCAACAAATCTGTGATTCTGGTTCAATGACCCATGAGTTTACACATGTGAAAAACAATGATAATGTAAGTGAAAATGAAGAGCTCTCACAGTTTTCCAAAACTGAACTGGAAGAAGAAAGTAAGGAGGATGTTATGAGAGGTAGCATACAGGCAGCTCTTGATTCCTTGGGAAAGTCGAATTTTAATGTCACAAAGGGTGATTTTAAAGCTGCAATGATTTATAGGAATTCTGCTAAAGGATATGCAGGACACAAAAAGACAGATGAAGTGATGATGAACCAGACAAGTGATAGGACTAAAGAAAATAAGTCAGCAACATCGTCTCCTGTGCCTCAAGCTGAAAAGGAAACTTTAAAATCACCTGAGGGAACTGACACAACCCCTTGTGAAAGGTCACTTGAAAACAAACCAAAGACATGTTCTCCTTTGCCTGTCTCTGTAGAAACATCTGCTAAAAATCGTAAAACTCCTGTTGGACCCAAACCAGCTATCCCACCTAAACCAGATCATTTAAAACTTAAGCCAAACCCTCTTGGTTCTGAAACTGACGCAGAACGTCTCAACAAATGCCAAGTCCCTCCTACTTCTTCAAAACCACCAACTGAGCAGATTAATGAATCTTCAACTTCCAAACAATGCCCGTCTCATGAAAATGCACTCTGCAAAAGAGCACAGCATACTGATGCTAATGAACATGAGCCCAGTGATACATCAGTGAGCAACACTGAAAGTCCTAAAGATAAAAAGCTAAATGGTGTAGAGGTTGTTGAAGAAACTCCAAAGAGCTCCCCAGAAAGCATTGTCAATGAATCTTCCACAGGATTTCATGCTACTCTTCAAAACTTTGGGGTAAAGCCGAGTGGTTCAGTGCCTCCTGTAAAACCAAAAAGAATCAAAATGGCAAAAGAAAACGTGAAGAACTCCATTAGCAACTCTACCACTTTGGAAACTGAAACAGCACAGGGAATTCCTCCTCCTCACAACAATGACCCCTCAGGCGAGACTTGTAAGACAGATACCAACAACCGTGAAAAGAGAAATGATAAAAGCGATGATCAACAAGTTAGTGGAGTGGTGAGACGGGAAAAGAAAATTAGAGGAGAGACTGAGGATGAGCGAAGGCAGAGGCTCTCGGTGCACTTGGATGAAATCATGAAAGGAAACGTGCCAGCTGTCATGGAGATCTTTGACAAGCTGAAAAAGCAAGACGAACTCAAAAACATACTCTCCAAAGTGGAGGAAATCGAAGAAGACACCAACAAAGTGGACGTGAGCTCACTTAAAAACATTTTTGAGAGCGTACCTGATTGGATCGTGCCTCGGGAGAAGAAAATCAAGCCAAAAATAGTCCCACCAGAACATACTGGAGCACCAAGTGAACCTGAGATGATGTCATCAATGGAGGTAGCTTTTGAGGACCTGGAGAAAGCTGGTGCTGAGATCATCCGTTTAAAAGACCAAACGCTTGCAAGACTCATGGATATAGAGGAGGCCATTAAAAAGGCTCTTTACTCAGTATCGACTCTAAAATCTGATTCTGACATTGTAGGACTTTCTGGTCTCTTCAGGGAGTCAATGGTGGCTGTACAAGGTTCACCTCCTGCAGGTAATATCAGGAAAATCAGCATTGGGTCAAGCAAATCACCAAAAGCTCAAAACCAGATCGGAAAGAGAGTTTCTGAACAGTCAACAACAAAGAAAAAGCCAGAGCTTTTTATTCCCACAACGAAACAGAGATCAGCCTCACCAGCATCTCCTTCGTTTATTTCCATTCAGTCTGCAGCGAGGAAGCCTACGGAGTCGCCATCACCTCAGATCAGTCCCCTGAAGGAAGAACCCAAAGAAGAGACCAAGCTGCAGTGCTGCTGTAGTGTGCCTTCAGACCGCAGGCAATGTTCTGTCACAAAAGGAGCATCCTCGAGCCCTGCGAATCCACGGCGGCAGGTCAGTGTGCTGGAAGTGCAAACCGGGCCTGAAGTAGAGAGAGTCACCGGAACAAAAACCATCAGCGAGAACTATGAGAGGACGGACTGCTTTGGCAACAAATTCTACTCCTCGAAAACCTCCACAGTCGTGACAACCCAACCTGAAACCAGGACAACTTCTAAAAAGCTCATCATGAGCAGTCCAGCCACAACGGAAATTGTCACGTACCCAAGAATCAACACACCTTTTATTAGAGAAGACCGTCCCCCACTGTAAATTTATTTCGAAATTTATGTTGGTTTTGGTTGCAATATAAATGAAATTTATCACATCTAATCATGTGACAGCCAATGCATTTTTTTGTGTGTACTTTTTTGCTTGGTTATCTTTTGAATGATACTTCACTATTCCTGTTTCCGTTTGTTAGTATTTCAGTTTCAGTTTTTTTGTGAATTAATATTTTTTAAAACTATGATTTCCTCAGTGTGTTGCAGTCATGCAATAAACAGGTTCTGATATTTCTGTGAATACAATATAATTTGAATTTCTGCCATATTTGTCAATATAGAAACGTGTCATGTCACATTATGAATTTCAGTAAGCAGCTTTTCTCTTATTACAAGAAAAGAAATCCAAGGCACTTCTTCCTGACCAAAAAAGTTAAAAAGCCCTTTCTCCCAATGTCACAGATTAATTATACCTACACCTGTCATTCATTTGATACCTGACACACTCTGAGGAAGGCTGAAGGCCGAAATGCTTCAGTGTGCAGAGTTTTAGTCATTTTTAATGTTTCTATTGAGATGGCCATAAGTGTGAATAAAGGCTTTTTAACTTTTTTGGACCAGAAGAAGTGCCTTGGATTTCTTTTCTTGTAATAGTTGTTTCAAACCCAACCAAAGAGCATCTTCTGGGATTACTTCACAAGGTCCTTTCAGCAAGTGGCGCTTCATGATGTCTCCTATGATCTGTCGAGTGTGAGGTTTTCTCTTATGTTATCACAGGAAAACTGAAAGTAACAGAGTTAATTCATAACTTTTTCATTTTGTTGCAAATTTGTGTTAATTTGTATGGCTGCGTTTGTACGTTTTCGTATTTGCTTGCGCTCCACTGAGGGGGTAGGTTTAGGGAAGGACCTTCATACTTCTTTCATACAAATCACGCTATATGAATTTTCACAAATAGCTGTTTTCTTATGAAATTGGATGGACTGAAACACAGTGATCAACCAAAATATTTCCCGAAAATATTCTGGTAACATTATTTCTTAAAAAGTCAAGCATTTTAAAATGCCTAGCAGTTCAGTATTTTATGTACATTCAAAGATCAAAGTATATAATCCTGTGTTTTTAATAATCAACATTTCTATTTAAATGCTTTACATTTTCTTTTTTAAATATATTTAACTATTTAAATTGACATTAAATGTACATTCCATTAAGTAATTATGTTTGTTAATGTAAAATGTATTCATTATAAAATGTTTTCAGAATTTAATCATTTAGAAATTGTTTGAACTTAGAGGAGTACTACAGAGCCCCGCACATGACATGCAAGAAAAAATAAATAAATTGTGCGCACGATTTACTAATTCGTTCCCTCGATTTGTTCAATCGTGCGCACAATTTACAAATTCGTTCTCTCGATTTATAAATCGTGGGAACAAATTAGTAAATTGTGCACACAATTTATAAATCGAGGGAACGAAATGTGCGCACGATTACGCGCATTTTTAGAATTTATGCGCATCTTGGCATTTCCATCCAGCGATTTTTTATGCGCTATTCCAAAATTCGCATAAAAATAGGTGGATGGAAACGCAGCTAATGATAAAAGATTTCATATCTTTAAGAAAAAAATATAATTCAACCGATGGATAGACATTGTGAAGCCAAAATACAGCTTTTACAATGCATACAGTGTGAATCCCATGATTAACACCAGTGTTTTCCAAAAGCCAATGCTGCATAAAAAAACCCTAATAGCTTAAGTGAATTAAAAGCTAACTTCTGACCCAAAGTCTTATGGTATGGAGGTTTGTTAACCCTTTCATGTGACTGTAGTTTCAGCCAGCAGCTCAGGAAACATGCTCAGCCTGTCTGAAACCAGTTTACCCAATGGAAAGAATGGCAGCGGATAAACTCGTTTTTCACAAAACTTGTTTCTGCTGCAAGCACTGCAAAAAGAAACTGAGGTAAGAATGTTGTTGATAATGATAAAAGCCGATAATGAACATCACTGAAATTTCAACATTTTAAACACATTACATTTACGATTCTAAATCAGTGAAAACACTTTGGCACCATAATGCAACTAAATAACAGCAAATCATTAAATAGGAAGTGCTGAAGTTGCAGTTTTGCACCAGCTTTCAGACTTTGCCTCTTAAGCTGTTAACCAACTTTGCTGACATTGCAGCTGTTGCTTAAAACTGTTAGATCTACAAATATGCTCCATATTAATGTAATTTTTATAGCCTACAGATCATAAACAATAAACATACTAAAAAGATGTTTTGCTTGGTTTTAGCCTTCAAGGCTACGCGCCTCTCTATGGGGAATTCTACTGTGTTTTCCACTATCAGCAGCTTTTCAAAAGGAAGGGTAACTATGACGAGGGCTTCGGCCGTCAACAGCATAAAGACCGTTGGCTACAGAGGAATGACACAAACATCATTTAGAGCTACTGAACAAGTATATGGGCCGTAACCTTGACTAACAGATGGTCTGATGTAGGCAAATATGATTTTCTGGTCTTTTTGCGATTGTGCTTGAACACATTTAAATCAAATATAAGGATTTAACATACACATAACATGATTTCATAAAGCAATTCATATATATGTAAATCAATATCATGCCAAATATTCTTAAATGTTTATGATGTTATGTTTGAGACCTTGATGAAAATGTGGTTTTACAGCTGTAGTACTAAATATTTTACATAACTGGTTGATGTTGATGATCTTAATTTTAAAAAATGTGCTGAAAATTGCATGGATGTCAGGGGGGAAAAAATCAAATATGAAGATGTGTACATAGATTTGAGATGCCGTTTGTTTCAATTACTAAACTTAATAAATAAATTCTGGCTTCATTAAAGGCTTTCTAGTTGATCCACGTTTTCTGTAGCATTTAAAAAGCACTGAAGAAAAACACTACTGCACGATTTCAATCATAAATAAAACACTGATTTTTACTACTTTTCAAATTGAAATAATAAAAAAGTACAAATTCATTTTAAATCAATAAATCTTTACAAACACGACACTTGCAAATTGAAAAGTAAACAGTCATACCTCTGTTTGCCTTATTTTCCTCATTCACACAAAATCAATTAAAAAAAGCATAAACTTCAACTACATTTTTAAATAGCAGTATAAATCTCATAATTTTGTGCTCCTGCGAGACATTTCCTGCTCCTGATTCAGTCCGCTTTCAATACTGGCTTTCTCTGATCCCCTGTAAATGGAAAATTAAGAAAAGCGAGATTTATTTCTGTAATAAATTTGGTGCATCAAAAGTTGCAAGAGTTTCATGCATAGTGTCACTAATATAATGAGGTCTAAACGCACATGTTGTCATCCACGGGGACATCAGTGTGGTCCTGTAGGTCAGTGTTTAGTGTCTCTGGGAGCAGGAAAGTCAGCGGTCCTCCCACAAAAGGAAGAGAGCCGTATATGACCATTGGAATAGCAGGATGATACACGTCTAACAAGCCAATCAGAGGAGCCAGAATCCCAGCTACACGCGCACACATGGAGTTCAGTCCCACTCCGTTTTGTCTATAATTGAGTTATAAGAACAAGAGCTTATTTAGAATCCATAACTGAAGATAGTGGGTGCTGATGCAGGTTCAGTACATATATACAGTACCTCACAACCGTTGGGTAGAGCTCAGCAGTGTACACATACACTATGGTGAAAGAGGCGGCGAGGGAGAACTTCCCAATCACTGCGATCACAGTCACAATCACAGGATACCCTTGAAAAAAGCAGATGAACGTTTAAAGCTGTTTTTGTCATTTGAATGTTTTTCAAAGACAATTCCTAAAAATGTTCTGATTTGGTGAATTTGCTGCAAATTGTAAATTACGCGCGCCTGATTATTGGCTACGGTAATTTGCGCTGCTCTTGGGAGATTGTGTTGGTCACTATGGAAATGATGGCTGCGTTTGTGCTCTTTAAATTTGTGCAATATCAGCAGATCAGAACTTTCCACTCCCATCGGTGTTCTCACGCTTGCCCTTTTTAGTAAATCTGGCCCAAAGTGTATGATTCATACAGATTGTACTAATTCATATGTGACCCTGGACCACAAAACCAATCTTAAGTTGCACGGGGATATTTGTAGCAATAGCCAAAAATACATTGTACGGGTCAAAATTATAGATTTTTTTTTTTATGCCAAAAATCATGAGGATATTAAGTAAAGATCATGTTCCATGAAGATATTTTGTAAATTTCCTACAGTAAATATATCAAAACTTAATTTTCGATTAGTAATATGCATTGCTAAGGACTTCATTTGGACAACTTTAAAGGCGATTTCCTTGATATTTAGATTATTTTGCACCCTCAGTTTCCAGATTTTCAGCCAAATCTTGTCCTATCATAACAAACCATACATCAATGGGAAGCTTATTTATTCAGCTTTTATATGATGTATAAATCTCAATTTTGAAAAATTGACACTTAAGACTGGTT